CTCTCTCTCTCTCTCTCTCTCTCTCTCTCTCTCTCTCTCTCTCTCTCTCTCTCTCTCTCTCTCTCTCTCTCTCTCTCTCGCTCTCTCTCTCTGTCCCCCTCTCCCTCTCGTTGGCGCGTTCCGGCGTTCTGGGTCCACAGGTCCCTCTGAATCGGACCAGTGGCCTGGACTTCCTGAGATGGGTAGTGAGGGGGGACCTGCTTCCCTTCTCATGTGTCTTTCTGTTCTCGATTTTTTTGTTATGTTGTGTCCTCTCACAGGCCGTTCCCATCTATGTTAGCGATTCAATGGCGGACGGGATGGACATTTGTTGCTACAGTTCGCTTCCATCTGTGCAGTTTTTTCACACCTCCTCGTTCGATGCTCCTGAGAACTCCTGCGAGAGCCGGTCCCCAGACATTGTCGTCACACCATCGAAACATGGGCATCGTGCACACCGTGTTGCTGGTATGCCCAGACGCCAATTCAGAGAACGGGCTGTGTCATCTGCCAATGTCAACATCGTGCGGCGTCTTCGTCTTAACGACATTATCAACGACGTCGGCGTCTTGCGTTCTGATGACGGCGCAGGATCGGCGTGTGGGTCTCCTAATCCTTCACTTCGGGGTCATTCGCCACCGGCAACTCGCACGGACGATCGTTATGTTCCGGTGGACATGCTTTCGTTGCCGTCGTGCGAAGGCAGTGAAGGGGGAGGGGGTTGTGCTGCTCGTTCGTCAGACGTCGACTTGCTAGTCGGAGAAGACACCGCGATATCTGCCTTGTCCATGTTGTGCGGTGAAAAAGGAAAGAGAAAATACGTATACAGACTCAGAAAAAGTTCTTCGGCATTCACCTCCACTTTCGAACGTAGATGTAGCGTCGACGAGTGCGAGGCCGTCCTCCGCAAAATATGTTGCAAGACGTTTCGCTGTCTTTCTAAACTTAGAGTGCAGGACGTTATGAAATGTAGACGTGACTACCGTGTTCTTAGAGGGCAGGAAAGACGAAAGTGGTGGATGGCGAAACTACAAAAGTTTATTTCGTTAGTTGACCATAAGCCCACAGTCAAACCGATAGTGCAGTTGCACCCTGTCTGCGTCACTGCATGGTGTCTTATACTCGGCGTCGGTAGGAACACATACAAAAGATACATCGATGACCTCGATGACGGAACCGTCGACGCTGTTCATGGCCATGAAGGTCGTCTGCGGACAACGGCGACCTACGCCATTACATGGTCAGCGTTCGAGGACATCATCTTGGACGAGTCTGATCCCATGCCAGATCAGACTGAGACAGGCACGAACTTCGAGATCAGAAACCGCATTCGTCTCCTGTCGGTGTTCCCCACAAAGAAAGACGTCTTCTTCAGTATTCGTACACGACTCTCTAAGCTTGGAGTCTGTTGTGCGTCGTACCAGGTCTTCTGCAAGATGTGGAGGGACTTCTTCTGGCATGTTCATCTCGCAAGGGTGACCGACCACGCCAGATGGAACGAGTGCATTAAGAATAGCATCCTCATAGAGGGTGCTCTGCCCGAGCCGAGAAGGGCGTTTGTTGCAAAATAGAAAAGTCATCTTGCGCTACAGTCAGCACACCGGAAACAGTACAGTGTGTGGTCCGCTGATTCAGAGCTCAGGCCTAAAGAAAGTATGTGTATCATCATCGATGGAATGGATCAAGCAAAAACAACGATACACCACGCATCGAGAAGACGTTTGTCAAAAGAAATGTCGAATAACAAGATGATGAAGACAAATCTTACTGGGATAATCGCTCAAGGTAGGACACCATCACTCATTGTCCACACGTGGTTCCCGTACCTTTCGCACGGCTCGAATTCGGTTGTCACCTCGATCGCCAAAGTGTTGAGAGATGTTCAGGCACGCGAGGGGGCGCTCCCGCCGAAGTTGCGGGTGCAGGCCGACAACTGTGGGGGACAAAACAAAAACAAGTATGTGTTCGCCTTCATGGCCATGCTAGTCAAATTTCGTATATTCGAGGTCGTCGAAATGGGGTTCATGATAGAGGGTCACACACACACGGACATAGATGCGAAGTTCAACTTGTTTGCCAAAACGTTGAGCAGTTGCGATGCGTATACCATGGATGAGCTCTTCGATGTCCTCAAAGAGTCCTGCGAAGAGGAAGTCGATTGCACATTGCTCACTGAAATTGCTGACCGGAAAACCGCCATAGATCCATACATTGACCATAAAATCAAGGGTCATGCCACGCCACACCTCTTCCGATTTTACATGGATGGGGACAACCCCGCCATGATGTACAAGGAGTTCTGCAATGACAAAAAGTGGGAGCCGGACGCTGGCCCTGTGTATTGGTTTGTAAGGGACGCAAACAACGGGTGGGCAGGGCCTCAATGAGATTTCCAACCTTGCCGTGAGTCTCCTAATCCACTTGCAGGCGATTTCGTTAACGGGATGGCGGGGGTACGTGTTCTTCATAAATCGTGGGAGAATACACAAAACCAATGGGTGACACAAGACGAACACACAAGAGCGATGAAACGTAGACGCTTGAGCTATTGGACCGACTATCTCAAGAATTTTGAAAACATATCGCAAGAGGAGAGCGGCACGGTGCCCCTTCAAGGTGTCTTCTGGCCATCCCCCATGCCCGATAAACAAGATCTCCCATTACGTGCGCCGCATGTTCTCGACTCGCCACCGAGGAAACCTTGCTTCGTCGGTTACAAAAAAGACGCTCCCAAGTTGGAGTTCAAACCGCACGAGTCTGTCGCCGTGAACAACTTCTTCGTGTTTCGCGTGCCCGACGAGTATGTTGCAAAGGGATGCACATTCTGGAATGGACGAGTTCAGGAGCGGGACGATAACCGCATCTGTGTCAAGTACTGGACTCCTTGAGGAAGGGAGCGCGATTTGACAAAGCTGTATGCGGGCGCATGGGCAAAGTCATGAAAGGTCGAAACTGAAACAAACGACGGGTGGCAAGACCTCGACGCCGTTGTGTAGGCATGGTCCAGCAATAAACATTCTGAAACGGGTATGTGGATCCTAAAACGAGAAGTTCTCAATGCACAGTTGTTTCTGGTCGTCCCTGAAGAGATTCCTTCATCAACGCACGATAAGATGCCTGAGTCAACGCCCGATGTGAGATCTGATTCAGACACATCTGTGTAGACGTGACGAGAAAAGAAGTATGAGTGACGATTATATGTTCAATAGGAACGACAAAAAGCACATCGCTGATTGTTCGATTGAATTGCATTTTTCTCTTTTTTTTGTTGTTGTGTTTAGAATGTCTGCATCGTCGGAGTGGAAGCCTAATGAGAATTGGGGGACGCCGGTGAGATGGGAGGACCTTCTGTCATGGAAAACAAGAACGCAAATGAGGGTTGTCGGTGTGGGGCAATTGACTGGACGGTTTTGGAGCCCTCGATTGAGTTGTGATATGACGAGGAGCGCCTACAAGTTTTCAACCTCGCCAAGACAGCGGGGAGTGATGCAAACAACGCAAGGCAAGGCAGTGGCAAGTGGACCAAAGCATTTTACGGGGTGGGGATAGTTCACATGTGGGGGGATGGTGGGCGTGAGGCATCAGTGGCATGCGTGGCATTTTCTTTCAATGGTGGCCTGACACGGTGCGCGACACGGATTGAACGAAAAAATGTGTCATCGATGGAGCAAGAGACCACCATGCAAAGAGCAACGTTGAAGTATATCAGACATATGTGCAACGAAATCAGAGATGCAATGTTGCGCTTCATCAACGAAAGGTCGAGGATCGTCATTCACGTGACGACGACTTTAATGACATGCTACAACGAAGATGGGCAAAAACAAAAACTGAAAAAAACTAACATAATAACAAAGTTTAATATTGTCAATCATATTCAACGGCGTGAAAGTGGCAAACGAAACAACTTGCAGTCCGTCTTGCGTCGGTGTCCGCTTTCACTACCGTTCCGCAATGACTCGTGAACTCACGGTCACAGTTCCGTACTTCGTCTGTGTTTGTGATGCCTATGTTTTTGTTTTTTTCCGTTTTTTTTTTTTTTTTTTTCCATGCGGTATGGATCCGGAATGGACGCAGAGGCAGTTAAGACGAGATTGGTGGGGAAAGCCAATCAAATGGGGGGAACTGATATCATATCGGCTGAGGAGACAGTGTAACGCCGTCGGACTTGTCACGTGGGATTTTTCATATTACGACTAGTCACTGCACTTGTATCCTCTAAGCGCGAGAAGAAAGATTTACAACCTCGTGGGGGTGTGCGATCGTCAGAATAATAATAATTACAAGAAGGACGGGAACATAAGATACAAGGAGGTCTTCTACGGTTACGGCTTGGTGGCTGCCCCGTTGACAGAGAACTGAAGTGCCGCCATTGCATGTGTTGCTGTAAAATTTTACTTTGTCTTACAATATGTGCAACGAAGACATGGAGACAGAAAATACCACGAAGTGATGCAGGAAAATTAATGTTGCGAGCGTACAAGCAGCACGTGAAACAGTATTGTATTCACGCACGAGATGCAATGTTGGAATTCGTCGCTCGAAGGAATGCCATCACGGTTTGTATCTCAACAGTCATCATTAAAAAGGAAGAAACGACGGGGGTCAACCGCAAATTCCGAAAAACGAAATTAACCACCGACTTCAACATCACGAACAGTGTACTCCGCCGAGCCAGCGGACAGAGCAACAACCTTGTTCACTTGCGCCGCTGTTGCACTTCCAGACAATTCGATGTAAAGAAGGTGTAGTTTAGAAGATGTAAAGTTTGTGCGCGTAGAGTATATCATGCATTTACGCAGGAGAGTACAGTATCGTTTTTTTTTTAGGTCCGATTTTTTTATTAACAAGGATGTCAGATTTTTCAATTTTTGTGCGCGCACGTGCGAGTGTATTTGTATTGTAGAGGAATATATCAAGACTAGGTCACCGTGCTTTTGTCGATGTTCTCAGAGATAGATAGACAGATAGATAGATAGATAGATTGATAGATAAATAGATAGATAGATAGATAGATAGATAGATAGATAGATAGATAGATAGATAGATAGA